AGTAAGCATAAATGCGTATCACTCGCATAAACAGATATATATTAATTAAATATTATAAGTTTCTAATTCATCTGAAGAGATCGTCCAGGATTCACTATCATACAGGCGGACTGATATGACATAACAGTTCAATATTCTTTTATTAAGAACTAGGAGCGTGGCCCGGCGTTGCCCGTGCTTGATTCAAAAATCGTACGAACAGCAATCGCTATCACTTGACTTAAAATATTTTTGTCCTTCCTTGCCTTTAAAGGAGTGCCCTTTTCCGTCATGATGTTGCCTTACTTCTTGCCTATCTCACACTGCAAATTTTTTCTAAGCTCTATACTAAACATTAAATTTGTTACGAATTAAGAACTAAACAAAATGAACACAAAACGATCAGCTTTAAAAAGGACTCGTAACTGGAAAAACCGAATGAAAAAAGAACCCAGTTCTGCGGAATCAGAATCAACGTTGAGTTTAAGCAAGCGAATGAGCCAATTGGAGTAAAGTGCCATGCAGATTTAAATTTTTCCCACTTGTGACGAATGCAGCTATCGATTTTTATTTATTTTTTTTTTTTTTTGCATGCTAGCATGCTAGTTAACATTCGTGTCAGTCAGCTCTCACGCTGACCAATAGAATCTTCCTGCCTATTCGTGGCTCTCACTCTGGCCAGTAGCAAATGGCCGCAAACTACATGAAAACTGCCGTAGAAGCATGAAAAAATTGATTATTTCCACTATCGATGGGAGTTGGGAAATGCAAGGTCGGTTTTGGCCTTCTCGCTTACTTGGAGCTTGTGCATGTAAATTTTGGTGCAAATCTGTCGAAAATTGCGGCCGTGCATTCGTTACACACACACACACATCCTGCCTTTTATAGAGATTACTTACTGGTAATGGTCAACCAAAACATTATGTTATTTATTAATAGTAGCTTAGTCTGGTACAAGGGCACAAATATAGGCGTTTAGTAAATAATTTTCATCTCGTTAAACATTATCCCAAAACAAGGAGCTATTATATTATTGACTGAGTTTGCTTAGTTTTAGGGCATCCAGTGAGGATCGAACACATTAATCAGTAGTGCTGGTCAACCAAAATAGCTCGTTAACTATCACCCCTAGCCGATGCCTCCTGTTCTTTACTAAGTGTAGCTCAATTTTGGTAGAAGCCTAGATGCATGGGTGAACCAGTGGGGTCTATTTCGTTAAAGTTTGTTTTTTGTTGTTTTTTTTTTTCATAAATCAGTATGTATTTCCTGTAGACTTCTCATAACTCAGGTCAGCTTGAAGAAAATTTAGTTTCCTTTCTGATACGACTTGATATTGGCTTACAACACCTTTTGAAATACCAGAAATACAATCCTTGCTGAGAGCTATCAAAACTCGCACTCCGCAAGTGATTATGTAATTATCTCCCTTTGGATTTCTGATAATAGATTTAGCAATTATCAATAGGACTAGACACGATCACATTTCCTATTTCTGTAATGGTGTCTATTTACTTATATAATTTCTCTGTCTATCCCTGATTGTTATGGCTTCTATGCGGGTCACATATTGATCGATGTCAATAGTAAATCAACATAATCGTTCGCATTTTTCAACTCCCAATAACACATTGAAATGTCACGGTTTTTGAATAAAGGAGATTTTGATGCTTCAGTGGGAATTCTTAAAAAATGAATAATTATATCCAAATGATAGCGATTTTTTTATGTGCAGATTTTTTTATGTGCAGATGGTTAGTGACTCGAAATGAGAAATCGTCGAAACGGGTTCGAATTCTGGTCATGTTTGTTACATTGTTACATTCACTTTCGCAGGAACACACTTGGGAAGGCTGTGCATCTATATCTTTTCCCTTTGTCTATGGGTTAAATAGCAGGATAGACTGGTCTCCTTAGGCGTTGCTGCCGACCAGTGTAGCAAAAGGAAAATGGTGAATTCAAAACCTGTATAAAGATGGTAAAACGTAAAGAGTATAGACTATGTGCGTAAAACACAAACAAGATCCCCACCCACTAGAGAACAATTTTCCAGAATGTTGTTGATACCAACGGACGTTGGATCAAAGAAAGGAGTATATTTTTAGATTTAAAATAAGAATAACGAAAAAGTTAATCGGGCTTTACTGACTCGATAGCTTCTCTGGGCGTTAGAAGCGGGTTCAATCTTCACTGACTGCATTATTTTCTAACTTATGCCAAAGTCGAGATTGCTAAATATTTCAACCACTTATGGCTGTTTTAGTTTATTATAACAAAGTGTTACAATCGTGGAACATTCTGTCAGCATTGTATGATCTGGGAAATTAACTTTCTAAATTCCTAGCAAAGGCCATTGAAAACAGGTCAGTATATGCGTTTTTTATAATGAACGTTCAAACAATACCAGATTCAAAAACGACCCCAGGTAGAAAGTTACTGAAGGAGTTTGCTGTATGAACGCAAGAAGTGGGGTAAGGATAATAACCCGATGGCTGTACTGTCGCTGCTGTTGCCTCGTTCTCGTTTCTTTGTCGATCTGCTTTTCCCCGTTCTAGCACTACCAAAAACGTAGTATTCTTGACGTCATCACTTAACAGTGTCCACTAACACCCGTCGCATTTCGACATCTGCAGGAGGGAGTTAACCAGATTCTACGGGAATTTCACCCAGTGGTGGTTCTGATTCTGTGGGGATTTCAGGTGTGAAATCTTTGTAGCTGTGGTAACTTCTTTGCTGAAAAAACAAATTTCAAGGCACAAACAAACAAATTCTGTTGATATCTAACAGTGAGTTTAATGATAAAGAATTGAATAATTTATATATAAAGAGTAAGGAATTATTAACTTTTCACTGTAGCGTGATGGACGATCTTTCAGCAGAAAAATTATTCTAGCAGTAATACTAAAATAAGTAAGAGACCTCAAAGCATTAACATCAGTTAGAGGGATAAGAAAGTATTAAAACTGGATTTTACCTATCTTGTCATCTGGTCTTTTTCTCTGTCTCTCACATTGATTATTGGTTCCTTTATATAATGAAATTTGAGCTCTTTTGGCACTGCTTTATTGCATACTTTTCAATAAGATATTTATGACATGGCGTCTGGTGAAATGAATTCATTCCAAAGTCCCTAACATAAGATATAAACCTGTGAGGGATTTCGTAGTATGTTAAATAAACATAACGAGAATTATTCTTTTGAATTTGGGATCTTTTAGAAAATCATGAATCTTATACTATTCCTGAGTAAGTTGGCAAAGATGTCGTCTTACTCAATCTTAATGAATTCTACTTTATTTCATGTTCACATCTTCTGCGACACTTCACTTATCTCATTTTATGGCTTCTGATTATTATTTTCAATTCGTTCTGTCTTGATGCTTAATGTGTTTCTTTGAGTTTTACCACAGTTTAATCATTCCTATTTCCTGCTTCCAATCGTCATGACGCATTCTCACACATTAAAAATTTCAACCAGATTTGGCACCCTGTTACATACCCACACACCAACCTCTGGCAAGCAGCGAGCTCCATTATGGTGGAAGGGGTTACTTCCTTTTTTTTTATTCATGCAGTAATCCATCCCGAAATTTTGAATTGTTCATGCATCTCACATCGCAGCGTTTTCTTTCAGATAAGGAATATGGCTTTCATTTCTCAAGGTCAACTGCTGATCTTTTAACGATTATTGCGGAAAGAGCCAATCAGGCGTTAGATAAGAATGGTGAAGCTTAGGCTGTTGCTCTGAACATCTCGAAAACGTTCGACAGGGTTTGACATACCCGGTCTTCTACGTAAATTGAAAGGTTATCGTATCGCTGGACGAACTTTTGAACTAATTCAGTCTTTCTTATCAAATCGCAAAATGAAAGTTTTCCTGAACGACCTTCTATATCTTTCTGTAGTAATGTAGGCGTCCCCCAGGGCTCTATTCCTTGGATCTACTTTGTTCCTAATTTTCATCAATGACCTTCCTGATGGCATCAATATCTATTCTAATGATACAACTATTTACTCCTGTCATAATAATAAGTCTGATCTTCCGATAAGGATAAATTGGTAGCTGATCTCAAAAATGGCCTACAATCTGCCTTTAACTGAGTTAAAGAATGATTTCTTAATTCTAACGTTTTCAAAACGAAACTGCTCTGTATCAATTATCTGAGAGACGCCTTTCTCCCTTCTATAAGCATGGCTGATGCTAACCTCCAGGAGAGTGACTTGTTACGCCTTCTCAGGCTAACATTTTCCACTCAAGGGAAATGGAAAGATTATATTGAATCAATTCCTAAGTCTGCTGCTAGGAAAAGTTCACTGTTGTTTGCGTCGAGTTAAAAACATTCTCTCCAAAAGCTGTCTTACATATTTATAAGTCTACCATTTCTCCATGTATTGGATATTGCTGCCACATTTAGAGATCCTTTATAAAATCTGCAATGTTATTGGTCCTGACCTGGCCTCTCAGTTTCAGTCACTTTCCCACCTCCGTAATGTAGCTTCTATGTACCTTTTCTATACATGTTTTCATGGTAATTGTTCTGACCAACTTTCTGACCAACTTTCCTCTATGGTATTTAGAAATTATGAATTTAAGCGTAGTGCTAAATTGGCAGCAAAATCTCATTGCTTTACATTTAGATGTAACCGCAAGTTTTATGCAAGTTCGTATTTATCACTTGTGGAACTTTTTTCCAGCTTCTAGCTTCCCAGTCAACTTCTATCTTCACAAGTTAAATATAATGTCAATTGTTATCTTTTGTCTTCTTAATTCTTGTTCTTTTCTTAATATCTCTTCTTAATAGTATTTTCTATTCATTTTTCTCATATTCTCTAACACTGAGTAACCTCTTTCGGCATAGTGAATTTGTTGCTTTGCTTAGGGTTGAAATGATTTTTAAAATGTGTAGTTCATGCTGGCCAAAGACTTAAAATTTTCACACCTTAGAGATGACTAATTGTTCTGATTTTTTTATAAATTCACTAAAAAGTTTTTCATATGTTCTTTTACGATAATTGACAACTACATGCAACCATCAGGATCACAATGTTCTTTTCTATGTGAATATAAAGTAATTCGTTCAATATTCATCGACTTTAATTGAGAATTATTTTTTCTTGGAAAGTATTTATTTTATCTCAGCAAGGCGGCGTGGGGAGTATTCTGTCAATTCTCCGACATTTAGGTAAGTCCTCATTGTTTACCACTGTCCCTTTTCCCTGATACCATGCTTCACTGAAGTTCACCATACTTGGGTTCAATTTCTTCCTTTCTTTTAATGTAATTTTTACTACTATGAAGATTATTATTCTCTACATATTCTCTTCTATCTGGATATCTCATGAGGTTTGGTTTGTTTTTTTTTGTTTTTTTGTTTTGATTTTTTTTATTTTGTTTTTTTTTTTTTTTTTTTTTTTACGACATATCAATCTTAATTGGTTATTTAATGCCGACAAAATTTTTATTGCTGGTAATATTTTTTTACAAAAATGTATTGCGGGTAATAATGTATTGCTGGTAATAATTTTTTCTTCAAAAATTCATTGCTGGTAATAATTTTTCAAAAAATGCATTGCTGGTATTAAAACCTATTTTTACACTTTCATAGCGTTTTGACCCCAGTTTGGGGGTTAACTATTTGCCCATAGCTGGGACCCTAACAGGCGCTGCCACCCCAGGTTAGGGTAGGCCTGGGAACACAAGCAATTAAGAGGTGGTTCTATGCTTCTCAACACCTCCTGATCAGAGGCCTTGCTGTTGGATGTAGTTTATCGTCTTACCCAAGACGTGGATGAAGTTTATCATCATACCCTGGACTGAGATATCTCATGAGATGAATTTCAGGAAATTCGTTGATTAGTGGTTTCGATAAGCCAGTCTAATGAATCGTCGACACGTTCACAAAAGTCCAAAAGAAACGTTGATTTGAAATTCTTCTCTTTTTTTTCAGGGGCTACGGAATGCTTACTTCCCCAACTGCCTACGTAGCACTGAGAACAACTTCACTAATATCATCATTCCAGCACGAGAAGTCTCAAACTTATCAAAAGCCTTGACCCTAAAAAAAAGCCACTGTCCCAGACAAAATTCCAGTTGTTGTTCTTAAGAATATAAACCTGGAATTATCCGCAAATCCTAGCGAAATTATTCAACCACTGCTTGAAGAATTCCTTCCCAATCCTGTGGAAGGTTTCAAGTGTATGCCCAGTGTTTAAGAACGCGGGCGTGCGATCTTCCCCCTCCCAGTACAGACCCATCAGTGTCCCTCAGAATTAGCGGTAAGACTTTTGAGGCCTTAATCAACCAGGTCGTCGAGCACCTAGAAAAGAACAGCCTCTTCAACGACGAGCAGTACGTGTTTCGATCGGCCTAAGTACCATCACTGACAAAATTAGTGAGGCTCTTGATGATAAACAAGCGTCGAGGGCCATATCATTAGCTATTTAAAATACCTTTCATAAGGTGTGGCAGAAGGGTTACTCCGCTAGCTTTCCAGCTATGGAATCACTTGAAGGGTCTTCTCACTCATAAAATCCATCCTAACAGTTAGTTAGAAAGTGGTTGAAGGGAGTTATTAGTGGCCAGTCTTTCTGCTTTCTGTACCACTCTTAATAATTACCTGACTCTTCATACTATTTTCTACCTTTACAAGAGCCAGATCAGGCCAAAAATGGAGTACTGCTGGCATATTTGGGCGAGAGCTTCCCAGACCTCACTTGATAGATTTCAAAAACGTCTCCTAGCCCTTGGGAGTAATGAATTATTCTCCACCCTCCAATCTCTCACATCAAGACTCTTGATGTTCTATGGCTACTTCTATGGAAAATGTTTGGACGATCTATATTCCCTGGTCCCGCCAAGTCAAACTTTTACGGCAAGGACACGCCATGTCAGTTAAATAGTAGCAAAACACCTACATTCCCTCCGTATTCCATTCCATTCGAACAGATTTTCCCGCGAACAACTACGACATGTAACAGACTCCCAAGAGCATGTTTCTCCGACCCCTACAATCTTAATCGGTTCAAGTCTAGGTTTAACCCTTATTTTCCTCTACTATCTGCACAAATTGCCTCTTAACGTAACTCATTACCGCGAGTGGACCCCGGACCTTGTACATGGTGAACCTTACAGTAAAAAAAGCTTATCTCATTTCACGACATAGTCAAGAGCTATGAAATCCTCAACTTATTTTACGATTTAGTTAAGGATCTGCGAAATTCTCATCTCAATTTACGATTTAGTCAAAGACTACGAAATTCTCATCTCAATTTACGACTTAGCCAAGGGCTAAGGAATATTTATCTCATTTTACGACTGCGAATTTGTTTCAACGAGACCACTCTAATTCTCACACCCCCTACCCTCCCCCTCTCTCTCTCTCTCTCTCTCTCTCTCTCTCTATCTCTCGCTTCTCACTTTCAACACATTTTAACTTTTCTCGTTTCCTTTTTTCTGATTGTTTTCTACTTTTTTTATATCATCCAGATATTTACTTACTCGTCAGCATATCTTTGCATCTAGCTTCCTACTCCTTAATTCCTTTTACAGTCTTTTCTGACCGGCATTTTTTTTTTCTTTTTAGACATCAACATATCTGGGAACACTTTTCGGTCAACCTCCTGGCTTACTTTTTTTTCTTCCGTTACATAGATTTTTCCTCTGACAATTTTCTTCCTATTTACTCATCCAGATATCTGGGAATTTCCGCAGTCAAATTTTGGATCTTAATTTTTTTCCAGTTTTTCTGCCGTTACACTGGTCTTCCTCTATTTCTTTCAAGTTAACCTGCCATATATCACGGAATTCCCCCGGTCAATCTTCCGACTTTAATTTCCTCCGTTACCCAAGTCATTCTCGTGATGTAGAGGTTCCTTTCTCATAACGATAGCGTAGACGCAGGAGATAGGAATCAGCAGATTTGAGACAGCTCCGTGCGTGCTAGAAGCTTTTTAACTGATATTCGTGTTTTCTTTGGGAATCCCTAACGGGTTTCTGCTGTTTTCGTCTTTCGCAAATTGTAAAACACTACAAATCCTACTTTTCTTTTTTTTTTAATCATTTTACCCCACGCAGAGCAGTAAATCCACTACGACACAAAGTGTGACTAAGAAGGAAATAATAAGGTAAAAAAAGAAATATTATTAAGGATCGAGATCAAGAGAAGAAGAATCTTGAGGACAGTAGACATTGGTTGGCATTGCATTTAAATTTTTGAAGATAAAAGTTGGCTGGAAAGCATGGAACCGAAAGAGAATTCGATAAGCGAGAAGCGAGAGAATAATAAATGTTAGTATAGAACTAACGGTAACATCTAGTCAATTCAATTATAAATTGATTAGACCTCTCTGCTCATCTTGTACTGCGATTAAATTAAGTCTAGGTACCATTGCAAGGCATTCATTCAAGCAATTATCATGAAAATACTTGTAGAAAAGGCAAAGAAAGAGTCACTAAAACCGAGGTACCAGGTCATGACCAATAATTCGGGTCATTTCTTCCAGTTATTCCAAATATCTGGGAATATCTTCGTTCAACCTTCTGTCCTTAATCTTCATTTTGCTTTAATCTTTTCTCAGACCATCGTATTTTTTCCTTCCGGTTATCCATCCAGATTTCTACCAAAATATGTTCTACTTTACTTCTCATTGTCAACCGCTTTTAATTTTTCTGTTACCCAATGGCATTTCACATAACCGGACCAACTTTTCTTCAATATTTTTATACGCTTGTCGGTAAATTTACTAGACATTTTATTACATATTTGATTGTAGAACAACTAAAGAGACCGATTGCTAAGACGAAAATCTCTCACACCTGGGAACGTGCTCTGTGCCAAACAATACGAAAGTCCGTGTACGATTTCAGAAATGTCTCCAGCCATCAACCCAATCACATAATCGATTTCGTTTTTGCTTTTTGTTTGTTTATTTGTTTTTTTTTGTTTGTTTTTTTGTTTTTTGTTTGTTTGTTTTTTTTTTCAAGCATTCCTTTCATAATTTCTAGGCAACTCAAAACCGCCATCTTTTTGTTTGAAATTCGTCACTTTCCCTTTGTAGAACTTCTTCCCATTACCTCTGCTTTGATCATCGACTTTGTTTCTCAACTCCTTCCCACTCTTTTTATCCCTCCCTTCCTTCCTTCCTTCCTTCCTTCCTTCCTTCCTTCCTTCCTTTGTTTGTTTCTTTCTTTTTATCTTTTTTTCTTTTCCTTCCAGCCAGTTATATTACTTGTCTCTTCCCCTGCATTCCTTCTTATCATAAGCCCATAACTTTTTACAACAAAGGTTTGCTTTTTTCTTTCTTTTTCTTATAAGTATAATTTACCTTGATGTTGTCATTATTGTGACAACAAACAGCACTACCATAATTCCTTATCAATTTTAGCATTTGAGCTCTTTTTCTTTTTGTTATGAGTACTAATCGTATTCATTTGGGCCACCCACACTTGGAAGATTTTTTTTTCTTCTTCTATCAGAGTCAATATTTCTTTCCAGGTACTTCATTTCTTCATGTGTACATGCATCTGATAACCCAATACCCAATCTCTCCCCACTTTCTAAATCTCCGCTTTCCCTAATCTGCAGTTTCCAGAGGTAGCCCCTTAATTATTAGACACTCCTTCACCACAGCATGCTATACCAAGGACAGTGTAGTGAACCACCCTCCTTCCCTTCGTATTCCCCTGATGAGATGCAAGCAGCTTCTTCCCACACACCACTGCCTTGTGGAACCGATTACGAAGATGTTACTTCCACGATCACTACAATCTTAACCCGTTCAAGTCTACTGTTAATACTTCCACACAAATCCGCATAAGCGGTGAATCTTACACTGTAACCCTCTACCTCGAGTGACCCTCGGGCCTTATACAGAGTAAACATCGCCGTAAAAAAAGTAAAAAATATCTATATCAGAAAAGTATGTTATTCATTTATGTGTAATTTCCTTTCAAAATGTGAGCGGAGATTGATTTCTACAACTACCTGTGGATGTGCGACTAGAGTTTTAGATAGTGGCTCGGAATGAGAAACTGGAGAGGCGAGTTCGAATTCCAGTCGTGTTCGTTACATTCACTTACGCGTAAATACCCTTGGGAAATGGATGAATTCATATATTCTCCCCTAGCTCTGGGTTAAATAATAATTGTTATCTCCGAAAAATTGTTAATGCTATATTCGCCCTCAAAATAAAAGGAAGATTTATTCTTACAATCAAAAATATGCTTCGGCTTTGAATAACACACAAAGGGTTGATAAACCTTAAAAAATAAAAGATCAATCAATAAGCAAACCAAATAAATCAATAAAAAAGTACGTGTTATATATGAATTCACCTCTTCTCTCTCTCTAGCTTTTGCTTAAATAGTCGTTATCTCCAAAAAAAATTGTAAACGCTATATTCACTCGCAGAAAAAAAGGAATTATTCTTACCATCTTTTGAACAGGAGTAGAAGTTTATTCCTTGTTTCCTTTTTAAGGTTGGGTTTCCGGTTCCTTCACCTAAAATCTTCTCATTTTCTTTCACCCTCGCTAGAAACCCCTTATGTCGTTATCGCATTTCTTGGAATGAAATGATTAAAAAAAATTCCAAATAGATTACGGCTTATATAAAGAGTTGATAAGCTGTAAAAAATCTATAAAAAAAACAGCTACCTGTCTTTTGTTGTTCTAAGTAAATTTTTGACCCACAAAAAATCCAAAATAACTTTTAGCTTTAAATAACCTAAAAAGGTTTGATAAGCCGTAAAAAATCAATCAATAAAAAAAAACAACTACTTACCTTTTGTTTCTCGTAAAAAAACGAAATCAATCTTTGTGTCTTAAGTGAATTTTTCCCCCATTTTGTGTCTTTCTTTTCTTATCCGTTTACTGGTTGTTTAAAACTTTCTGTTCTTTCTTATTGGTTTTTTTTTTTTTTTTTTTTTTGAACATTTTGGATTTCGGTTTAATTAAGTAAACACAAGTTGTTTATTGTTGATACTCTGGAGGTCAATGACAAATAACTATTTTTCTATCAGTCATTCGATTTGATATTTCGTGCCGGCGTTCTTGGACCAAAGGTAAACTAAGGAAAAGGTTACGTTAAATATCAGACTTGACAGAATATAAAGAATCCGACCAATCAAACAGCATTTGACTGTGAAAAGTTAGTGTTTTTGTCGGTGTTATTACTATGTGTTATTATTTAGTTAGTTTATTCTTATAATAGTCATCATCGTCATCAGCATCAACATGGTCATCACCATCCACATCGTCATCACAATCAACATCGTCATCGCCATCATCATCACCATCAGTATCATCGTCATCACCATCATCATCACCAGCGCCATCATCATCATCATCATTAATATTATAGTTTCCGTGCATATATCATTATTTTTGTTTTCTTCTTTCTTTATGCTCTTTTTTCCTTCTGTTTCCAACACGTTGATTGACCGACTTCGTCAAGCATTCCACGTTTCTTTTCAATTGTTATTGTTATCTATACTTCCAAAATATCATTCTTATTGGTTACCATAAAGCTAAATGAATCAGTATTCACAGAATTATTTCTCCCTATAACAAAATCTCTAGATACAAGAGAAAAAAAAAAAAACTTGTATCTAGAGATTCTTGACAGAACCCGAAGAAGCCAGCATCTCAGCTTCACTCACCATTCATCCAAGAATGTGATATTCCTGTCTCACCTGGTCCTGTGCTTCTGCCGTGTATTAAGAGATTCTTAATAAAATCTAAATCTGACCCTGTCCCTTTTGCTCTTAGTAAGTACTATGGGTGTCAAATTTTCTAAGCCGCTTTTCCCTATTATGTTTTCCACAAATTTCAACTATCTTTTTCTGATTCTAAGTATAACTTAAAACTTCCTCGGTGTTCATATCATGTTCCGTCCATGGTATTCTCAACATACTTCAGTTTTCTCACTCATCTTTGAAGAAATTTTCCACCATTCACTGCCAATTGGATTGATATTACATTGCAGTTCAGCACTTTTCAAACGTTTTGCTTCATCTATGAAACATAGGTATAGATATTTCTGCATTAGTATTTCGCTCTGTTGGGATCATAAAGAAAGACTTTATTGTACCCGTGTCTTTAAAAAAAAGTCGTTGTTCTTGCACTATTTTCGGTTCGATTCTGCTTCAACATCCATGCTAATGATAAATTTAGACCTCAAGTTAACAGTTCGATGCAAATGTATGCAGACCCAACTGAACTTAACTAATCTATAAATTACGTAAAATGGAGAGTTGAATTAAAGTGAGATATCCGGAAGAGGCATGTCACGTGGAACTAGAACCTCGGTGGACGAAATAAAGGGTTCGGTTCAAAATTCCCATCACCTGAAGTAAGCCGGAGCGTACAACGGCCGAAATGCCCTGGATATGGCAACAAAGATGAGAACAAAATTCGAAAAATGCAAATAGTCTTAATAAAATAACTTGATTCAAGAATTTAATTCGTTCGTGATGGCTGTTCTTGACCCGAAATATTCGTAAACCGAAACTATTTTCCCCATAGGAATCAGTGTAAAATGGATTAATCCGCTCCCGGTTCCCAGATGATTGCTTATTTAAACTTTTATTTGTGCACAAAATTCACACACAAAACCAATGAAAATCATTAAATCTCACATAAACAATAAACACAATACTAAACAGATAAAATATAAACGAACCCTTAATTTAATTTTATTGTATATCAACTCTATTTAAAAAAAAAAAAAAGTATGCCGAATTCGAACAGGGATATGAGTGAAGCAAAATCAAACATCCCAACTGACGGTCTCCTGTCAATATTTTCGGCTTTTGCAACCCTAATTTCTTTTTTTCCTTACGATCTGATAAAAGTTAAACAGCTGCGGAGTTACTATTTGTTAATTAAATTGTTTACGTTATAATTTGAACTGAAACATAAAATGTGTGTGTGCGTGTGTGCGTGTGTGCATATTTTTGTGTGCACGTGTGTGTGTGTGTGTGTGTGTGTGAAAGTTTAGACTGAAACATTATATAGTATACAGTGTCGAAAGTTTGGTTAAAATAATATTCTCAATTAATTTACTTCCGCTAAATTAAATAAGTTCTATGTTGCGGTGATATGCAAAGTTAATTTTCGTTCTTTATGTTAAAATCGGCTTCGTTTAATAAATAATTCTTGGCGGCTCCTCACGACTGACATTCTTAACGATTTCAACGTTTCTCGTGAGAAAATATCAGCTTTTGCCTCTAGCCTTTAAAAACTTAAATTTCAAGGATATATGTAAACGCGCTTAAAAGAAGTTTTCATTGCAAAGCTTTGTATTAAACCTTAAGGTAGAATTAGTAATTTTTAAATCTGCTATTTTTCCTCCGATGACGTAAGAACATTTTCTATCACAATATTATATTTTTATGGACATGCCCATGTAGAGAACATTCTTTAAAATTCTTGGAGGAACCTATTTTCCCGAAAAAGAGAAAAATGTTATAAATTACAACCGACAGCTGTACTGGCTGCTCGATCAATGGAAGACAAAATATTTCCTTATAGGGAAACAGCTAATATTGCTATTACCATTTACGACATAAACTCATGAACAGCATTCTTGCTTTTTTGTACACATATGCAACACCACGTAGGAACCATCTAAATTAGGCCATATATTTCGTAAACATTATATAAGAAATATCAGTCATTTATTATTTTGTATATTACTGTTTACTTAATACAACACCCAAGAGCCACTCAAAGTAGAGGATCAATATAATAAGACTGTTATAAGGACATAAAGGGAGGATATATGATTAATTGATTCATTCATTTATTATGACTTACCAATCCTTTGCAAGTTTTATTTAAAGCTAGGAAATAATTTTAGAGTGTCAGAAATTTTGAGATAATAATGGTTTTGGCTTGGAGAAAACGTAGATTCATACCTTTCTCGAGTGTATTTGCGCGTAGGTGAATATAACAAACCCAACGGGAATTGGAACTCGACTCTCTGATTATAAAAACTGAGTCATTATCCATTATATTACCTGCGTATCTAACCTAACAGCACCTGGTATCCCCAAGCGGTCACCTATCTTGGTAATGACCAGGCTCGACTATGCTTAACTTCGGTGATCGTACGGAAACCGTTGTTTCAACGTGATATGGCCGTAAGCCATGGAAAATGAAGCACACATATCCGAAGGCGGTTTGGAATGGGGAAAGATGCCTTCCATAAAGTAAGCAAATTATTAAGAAACAGGAAATTTTCGTTAGAAACAAAGAAAAGAATGATAAATCCTCATATATGACAGTGAGCGCTGGACAATTTCCTCATAGATGAACAGAACAGGTGAGACAACAGTGTTGTGGTTCAACAGAAAGACGCAGTGAATACCATGAACGGAGCATGTGAACAACGAGGAAGATTTAAGGAAAACTCAAAGAAAAAGAACTATTAGAATCAGAAAGAGTCAGCTGGAATTTCTGGAAAACATGATAATGAAAACGGCATGGAAAATTTGATACACGCAGGACCTGTTGAAAGCAAGATGGGCAGAAGGAAACATCGAGTATTCTACCATTTTTTAATCGATTTCACCCCAAGCAAAGCAGTAAAGCCACTAAGACACATAGGTTTACAGTGTATAGAAGGAGTAAAAACAAAAAGGACAGTAGAAAGCGATTGACATTGCATTTAAACTTTTGAAGATCAAAATTGGCTGGAAAGCATGGAGCTAGAAGAGAGTTCCACAAGCGAGAAGTGCGATAAAAGAAACTCTTAGCATAGGACTTACGGTTACATCTAGCTAATTCAACTGTAAATTGGTGAGACCTTGTTGCTAATACAGTACTGTTCTTAAATACATAAATTCTAAGTACCATAACGAAGAGCTCATCGGAACAATTACCATGAAAGTATTAATAAAAAGGGCACATGGAAGCAACTTTATGGCGGTGGGAAAGTGACTGAAGCCGAGATACCAGGCCAGGACTAATAATATTGCTGATTCTCATTTGAAATTTATCAAGAATCTCTAAATAACGAGACCTAACCAGATTCTTTATATGGATATCAGAACTGGGACGGGGTGAGATAGAAAGCGAAAGCACATTTCTTAGAGCTACAAAGGATAGAAAAATTGTGGAGAGCCATGATCGGCCACTTACTGAAAGAGGCACGGTGCATAAAAGAACAATAATCAGGAACTCCTTAGAATATAGGAAAAGACGATGAGGAGGTTTCAGTACAAGTCACCTGTTTTTATAATGCACGCTTTCATCTTAAAAAAAGAAATCGTTATCTTCATAAACCAATTCTTAGATTTTTAGTATTTAAAAATTTTCTGTCTGTGAAAGAGTGTCGTTGAAATCACGGAGAGTTTTGACTAATCTATAACATCTACTTAGCTTGTAATTTCGTATTACATCAAGCTTTAGAAAAAGAAAAATAATTTCAAGATAAAGTCATTTTTTTCCAGTCTCAGGAGTTTATTGATCCAACCCTCCTATTTTCCTTCCATTTTTCTTTGATAAATTCTGTCTGATTTTTTCTTATCATAAAGATCTAGAATAACAATTTTTTGTGCTGTGCACTGAGGTTATTCGTTCCTTTTGTTGATATAAGAAAAGGGCACAGTATAAGAACTTTGATAGTCCTAGTTATAAATAAACTACATCCAGCAGCAAGGCCTCTGATCAGGAGGTTTTGAGGAGCATGGAATCACCTCTTAATTGCTGTTTTTCCTAGGTCCATACTAACCCGGAGTGGTAGCATCCCAGCTATGGGCGAATAGTGAACCTCCAAACAAAAAACAAAAACCGCATGAAAGTATGAAAATACATTTTTATAGTAAAAATACCAGCAATTATTTTTAATATTAAAAAAATTACCAATAATACGGGTTAAAGTCTTCAAAACGTTTATTTATTCAGTCCATAACCGATGATAAGAAGACAACAAGTATATATGTTTCAACACATTATTGTTTAAAAAAATTAAAGGATTATCCATCATTTCAGAATTCTGTTCAAAACAAAATGGAACGTTAGACAACGTTTTCCCGAATGCAGTAGTTACGTCCGATGGGAACTAAAATAAGGCTTAATTCAAAGTTCTTATTTGATTTTATGTGTTTCTTTAACGACATATCAATTCCACATGGGTCATTTAATGCAGAAATTTAATTTCCTTATTGAAATAAATATGATAGATGTTATTCGGCTTTCATAATTGGATACATTGTAGTTCGATTTTTTAAATAAATAAAAGAACAAATAAACAATAAATAGATTAAAAATCCTATTAAAATATCCCATAAAATTACTATATTGCCATAGAATTTTTTTTTTATATATTACATTACTAAAGTAATAAACCAAGCGTCGATTTTTACCTTAAAGTAAACTTTGTTCAATAATATTTTCTAAGGGAAAATGATTTAAAGTTTTACATTTGTTGCTAGCCTAAAATAAATGGTGTACATTACTATTAAATTTAAAGATTATAAAATGCGTTCTACTTACTTTGATTGTGTAAAAAATTTTGAAAATTATTTTTTTAAAATAAAAACTCAACATGGTTTTAATTTGAATAGTACTATAATACAAAGCTATGAAGGTTTCATTTGTTAGCTGCCTATTTATTACAGGAATGTTATTCCAAGATTCTAAACAGTCGCAGAATACATTAAGAAATATATAATTCTCATCTTTTACTTGAAGTGGATTAACATATTTATTGTTAAGCCACCAACCTTTATATTTTTTTTGTTAAGCCACCAACCTTTATATGTTTTTGTTTTTTGTTGTTGTTAAACCACCTTTATATTTCTTTTAAGTCACCAACCTTTGTATGGTGTTTTTGCATTCAGTATTGTCCACCAAGTATAAAATATGTCTATGTATTCTGCAACTTCTACAAAGTTAAGCAAACATTTCTGTTTCCCTAAGGTCAGCGGTCCCTGAATAGTGAATTGGTAAAAAATTTGTAAAACTAATGAAATATTTTTGCTTTTCAAAATTAGTAGGAGAAAGACCCTTTGAGGTCAATATATATCAATATTTCAAAATTGATTGAGATACCAGGACATGAAATATCTGTAAAGTAAAAAATGGGGTACTTTGGATATTATCTAAATCATGATTTCCATTATGACAAAATTTTGGGAACATCATGCATTTACTTGCATCTTTTTGACCAAGCCAGTCGTTTCTAACGTATTTTAGTGTATGAACTGAATCGAATATGAAGAAAAGAGATCTAGATTTCATAACTGGATATGAATATAGAAATAAAAGTTTTGCTGGGCTACAAAAGAAAGATATAACTTTCTTATTTATTGCATTATTATCTGTTATGATTGATATTAAACTAAATCCTATTTCTTCTATACAAATTATTACACGTTTAACTAGTCTAATAAATTCTCAGCTTTAAGACATTTAGTAAGAATATTATGCACAACATCCTTGTATCATAAGAATACGCTGCTAAGCGTAAAAGTAAAAGCACTTGCTACTGTCAGTTAAGCCAACAACATTGCCACCTTTATAATCAAAATAAGGTTTTAGGTGAATTTCATCTAGGAGTAAAGATATTGTAATGTCTTTTTCCTTTAATAACTTAAACTTATTTTTAATATACATAAGAAAATTGTTATGATGTTGCTTAACTATAGGATTCATAAAGGTTCCTAAAGTTACTTTTCTGATGGCTGAATAACTAGGTAAAATGTATATATTAGTTTTTCTTAATAGCCTATAATATCTCGGGGAGCAGTTATACTGTTATTGTGGAACACACCTATTCTATAGTTAATAGACTCTCCCACCTATAATAAGTAGGAGTAGTAATAGTAACGAGGAGTCGCTCAGTGGATTCGGTCTGAGTTCAGTCTGAAGACGGACGACCGGCTGACCGGTTGAACTCTCTGCCTTCGGGGGGAGGGAGGAAAGGGCGGAACGAGGCTAAGCCGACCCTGAACCCGTTTATAAGGGTTTTAAAAGGGCATATTTTTGGCCGAGACCACGGGCTCGGAGATCCCACGTTAAACTGGCCTTGTGCCACATGATGCCCTCGTGGTAGGGGGTGACTAAATACCGTCGCTCAGTGAGTTGGTCTGAGTTCAGTCTGAAGTCGGCTGACCAGTTGAACTATCTGCCTTCGGGAGGGGAGGAACCCGAACGAGGCTACGACGAAGGGTGGAGTCTCTTTCGGGGAGGTAAACCGACCCTGAACCCGTTTATAAGGGTTTTAAAAGGGCATATTTTTGGCAGAGCCCAGGGGCTCAGAGATCCCACGTTAAACCGGCCTTGTGTCACATGATGCCCTCGTGGGAGGTAACTGAATATCGCTCAGTGAGTCGATGCCGTACGACCGTTAGTCGGATACTAAAGTATCAGCGACCACAACTAGATTACTCTGCGTCATACCTATTATATGAAGTTCCTAACGTGTTGTACGTCGAACCTATTTTAGGACCGACTTATTACAAATACAAGCCTCCACGGTGAAATCACTCCATAACATATACAACAATGAAAAAAAAATAATTTCTGCTAAATTTCTGAATGGATTTTTTCATTTTTAAATTCCTCAAGAAATATATATATATATATATATATATATATATATATATATATATATATATATATATATATATATATATATATATATATATATATATATATATATATATATATATATAGGTACTAGTTATACACAGAAATAAATTTAAACTCAATTTTTTATATGCCACGATTATCAAAAAAAAAGTAATTTATTCACAAGGAAAATTCTATACTTTGAGCAATAATACTGTATAATTACTTTAGGATCAGAAATCAATCATAAACGAAAAAATTATTGAAATCAAGTTAATCATATAGGATATATATATATATATATATATATATATATATATATATATATATATATACACGCACACCCACACATAGATATATATATACATACACACACACACACACACACACACACATATATACATATATATATATATATATATATATATATATATATATATATATTCCGGGATAATTTTCCAACTTATTCAAGTTCATCTTCGCCATTTCTAACCTTCTAATTTTCTGTCCTGGAGTAACAAGGCTCCTCACAGGTTTCACATACGCTTTCATTTTCAACTGTTTTTTTT